ATGTTAGGCCACAAAATAAGTCTCAATAGATTTTAAAAGACATATGCCACAAAAGCACCTTGTCTGGCAATAATAACATGAAGGTTGAAATTAGTAACAGAGGAAAAATGGAAAATTTACAAGTAGTTGACTAACTCATTTTTAAACAACCAGTGACTCACAGAAGAAATCACAAGAGAAATTAGAAAATACTTGGAGACAAATCAAATGCAACAACCAAAACAAATAGAATACAGCAAAAGAAATGCTCAGAGAGAAATTTATAGTTGTAAATGCCTGCATTTAAAAAGAAAAATATAAAATCAGTAACCTAACTTCACACCGGAAGGAACTAAACAAAGAAGAACGAACCAAACCCAAAACTAGCAGAAGAAAAGAAAAAATAAAGATTAGAGTAGAGATAAACAAAATAGAGAATAGAAAAAAAATAGCAAAAATCAATGAAACCAAAAGTTGGTTCTTTGAAAAGATCATCAAATGAACAAATCTCTAGGGGAAACAAAAAGAGAGAGAAAGAAGAAAGAATTTCTAGACTTCAAGACAGGTCTTTTTAAATGACCCAGTCAGATAAAAAAGAGAAAGAAGAAATAATTTAAAAGAACGAAAAAAGCCTTCCTCACATATGGGACACTATCAAGTGAAAAAATATTCAGATTTTGGGAGTTCCAAGAGAAGAGATGAGAAACGGCATCGAAACCTATTTAATAAAACAATTTCTGAAAACTTCCCAAGTCTTCAGAGAGAGATAGACATTCAGATCAGGAAGCTCGTAAATCCCCAAAGAGATTTAGCCCAAACAGTTTCTCTCTGAGATACATTATAGTCAAACTGTCAAAAGTCAAAGGCAAAGAGAAAATTCCAAAAACAGCAAAAGCATCATGTTACACGTAAGGGAACCTCCATGAGAACAACAGCAGATTTCTTAGCAGAAACAAAAGGCCAGTGGAGAATGTGTATTTATAACACTGTCGTTTGTTTTTAATTACAATATTTTTAAATGGTAGGGAGAAAAAGACAAACTGTACATTCCAGCCAGAGCCACATTACTTTCCGTCTCTCAACCACAGCCTTCATGAGAAGTTTCTAGTATTTGAACTCATTAAAATCCAATCAATATACTTAAAATGTATATTTTTTACACTTAATATTTTAAAATTTAGCTTAGTAGTTACCTCCATCAGTTTTAAGCCCTTCATGGAAATTTTCTCCTCACTCAGGTACATACTTCCTTCCACTTAAAAATAGGTCTTTTGTTTGCCTGGATCCTAATATAAAAAAAAATTTCGGGAAAATCTAAGGAACTTTGGGGAAAAAAACAATGCCAGAACTTATTAAATCACATGAGCGTTCATCAAAAACATTACCTTTGGGGACTGCAATGCTCATCATATAATAGAACATTTCATATGTTTAAGTTAATCAATAGGCCCCATACGTTAATATTTAAATAACTCACTGGGTTATAAGTAACATGAGAGGAGTTTTCTCAAAGGAATCGAAATGGGTGATTGAGCAAGCAGATAAAAACAACAAAACATACGAAAGGGCAAACAACCCATAATTGTTATGGGTGAGCCAGAAATAAATTCTAAATCATTAAACATGCCAAAAGTAGCGCATATATATATATGTGTGTGTGTGTGTGTGTGTATATATATATATATAAAAAAAATACACATACACACACACACACACAAATTAGGTATATATTTTCACCAGGATAGCGTCTTAAAGAGAAATTACAAATCATAATAAGCACAATTTTGTCTTTATAATTGTGTTGTACATACCATGTTCAAGTCTCCATGCTAAACCCTCAACATAAAGGTAAGACTGTAAGACCACAATCCAAGAGATGATATCAGGAAACTTAAAATTACTTCTCAAACAACTGTTATAAACAAACATCAGTGTAGATTTGACAAGGTTGAGACTTCATGACAGCTGGAAGTTGATCAGGATATTACAGAATATTTGCCTAGGATTTATACCCCTTTAAGGGAAGGGCCAAGGTATAAAGGATGTGAGCCAAATCCCAGAGACAAGAAGCTTAAGGAATGTTGGGGAGATAAGGAATAAACCAATTTGGATAAAGAGTAATATAATTGGAAAGGAGTAATAAAGGAAATGAAATCGGGAAGGAAGGTTGGGGTCAGGTTGTGGAGGCATTGGTTGACAGCCAAAACTCTGGACTATATCCTTAATCCATTATTTCCATAAGAATTCACCAAACGCTTTTGAG